ATATGTCTTTCAAACATCGAAAGCAATAAATTAAAGAAAACAATTTTTTAACAATCTCAGCCATGCTTGATTCATAAAAACATTTCGACGAGAAAAATACCTTAAAGAAAATACCCCAAGGACATGAAATAATATTAAAAACGATTTTATATTAATGGGAAATTGGAATTTCCTTGATAATTTATCGTTACACGATTGAACTTAATTACCCCGCTTCCCCCTTCCCTTATCCAGCCGAAGTGTGCCAACAAAGCGTACGAAGGTAATTCCGAATCGAAATGCGAAGCCTCGATTAGCCGGTTGTCAGTCGACGTCTGTTAAGGCACTTGAAATGCTAATTTCCCTAGGCGGGGCCTTCATAGAAAATCAGTCGCGTACAGTTCCGAGCCTCCATTGCCCGGGCTCCCCGTGTCCATTGAGTGGTTCGCCTTCCACGGGGAAATTGAATAGGCTCCCATTAACATGAATAACGCGGACAGCCGATGCGCGTGTCGAGATTTTCACGAAACTCTCTCTCTTTCTCGCTTTACGTTCCCGACGCGGCCTAGGAATGTCGGTGCTCGAGGAATGTTCCGTCCGATCGTTTTCCAACCATGCCCAAAGAGGTCCTCGATACTTTCCGGCCGCCTAGACTCGATCGACGATCAATTTCACGTTCGCAATTCGCGTGTCCGCGCGTCGGATGGCTGGAATGTGCTAGCTTGAAAAGTAAAACAACGAAACTTCTCGGCTCGGTGACGCTCCGCGCGGTCGATTCAGCTCGCGCTCGATCCATCCGGCTTTGAATCGATCGTTGACCGAAATCAGCGCCAATTGTGACGGTCCGATGGTTGTTGTTTCGGCTCGAAACTCGAGTCGCGTGGTTCCTCCTGGTAAAGAAGAACACTACGCGTTTACTGGCCGTGATTTCGTCGCCTCGTCGACAGTTGAAAGGATCGTCCCGGAGCAGCAAACACCGTGCACGAGACTCGCAGTTCTCGCGGAGGGAGAAAAAATGATAATGATCAAAGAGGGTGTCGGCATGACGTCAGTATGCATTTCTCATCGGCCGCGCCGCGCTCAGATTACTGACGGCTCTGCCCCTCCGAAGGAATCCCCTACGGGAAAGGTACAACGGTATCAGTCATCAGGATCGTAGAGTGGCGTCCTGGGTGGCACCTCGTCCATTTTCGGATTGAGTTTCGCAGTGACGATCGTACACGAAAATTATTCATAACGTCCCGTAGGCGCGGTCGGTCCTCTCGAGAACCAAAAATGGCGGCGGTGACGTTGGAAACGGTCGAGCCGCTATCCGAGAAGGTGAGACACTCGATCGTGTTGCGCGTTGCTGTTACAGACGATCGTCAGGGGACGATCGAGGGATCGTCGTTTTTCCGCGATCGATAAGAAAATCGTGGCGGCGGTTAGAAACGGGTAGAAGCGACGATCGAAACGATCGCGGGATCACAGCACAGCCGAAAGAATCTTGACAGACGTTCGCGATTTTAGCGAGCGGAGACGCGAGGTCGACGAAGCTGCGTCGACGGAGAAGGATGTTAACCGATGTGATGAAACGCGAATCAACATAACATATGTATGTATAGAACAATTATGTGGTGTGTGTACAACACGTATACGTTGTATTAAGAATATAACCAATATAATGAAAATCGGATCAACGCAACGTATATACGTGATATTGTTATGTAGTGTTGTATACGTTGTATTGATATATTGGTGTTGATGCATCGAATTTTTCGAAATCGCGACGGTCGACGATACCTCGCGTCGAGTTGCGTATTACACACGAGTCCCGCGACCGGGATGAAGTAACGCTCTCGGATCGTCTCTCACTTGGGTCCTCCGGGCGAGGATTCGAACGGGTCTGGGTTATGAAATGTGTACAAGCACGAAGATTCGCGTGACTTAAGGCACTAGCAGTATTACTTAAGGCCTAACGCAGCGCTCCCCTTCTTCTTAAACGTTAAAAGGCACTATTCCCTATGAAAATACAACACGTTAACAAATATTAATTTATCAATCTTCGCGGTTAATCTTACAAGGTAGAGGTGTCTCTTTTAATGATATAAACTGGCTCTAGCATATACTGGCATCTTGTTCCATTCGCCTTTTCAGCTCTAGCATATACTGGCATCTTATTAAACTCCGTCCGCCCTCGGCTCTAGCACATACTGGCATCTTGTTCCATCGTTATTTTTCAACTAGCCCTGAAAATTCTATAGTTTCCGCTCCGTTCGGTTCTCCTCTCTCCTTTTTTTCTCGCTCTTCCCCCTTCTCGGCTAACTTTTAACCCCGGTTTGTCGCGCAGCCGCGGAAAACACACAGGCTCGAAGGAACGTCGTGCTTCTCGAGGTCTCTAAATTATTTACAACGCATCTTTACACGGATCGCGTTCTCGCGCGACGAGTCTGCTTAAAGACACGCGACGATGTTCCTTCAATGTATCATCTATTCATCCGAAAATGAGTTTTTGCACAGATCGAAATGGTTAATCCCACTTTTCGAACGTTTTCCAATTTTAGTCAAACATTCGACGTATTTTCGTCAAATTTTTCCATCCTTCGTTTTGTGAGGATAACCACGTCGACGAATGAACGACTTAAATTGTAACGACAACTTTTAGCGGCATTTTCATCGTTTTTGTCAGAAATTTCGTAGATCTAAAGCCTCTCTTTTACACAGATACAATTAGACCGTTAATTGACGATTCAAGGTCATCAAGAAGTTACTCGCATTCTATTTGGCACAGTCTACCAGAGCGCCTTTCAAAGTAGAATTCATGCTCCAAGTGACTTACAGCGGCGCAGCTGACCTTGAATGACCACTTTATTGGAGTTTGTCTTTACAATGAGACTCGGATTAGTGCAACGATCGTGGTAACCACTCAACAAACCCAGATCAAGAATTATATGGATTTTATTCGAAGGGATCAGAGTTGGATGAAATGTAATCTGATTAAACGTTAGGAGTATCGATTGAAATGCAACGTTTTATTCGATCGTAAACTACTATCTGCAACTATTAATAAGAACCTCCTGTAATCGTCTCAATTTCAATTGTAGATCAGCAACAATCGACGATTACAAAAAATAATTTGCAACCGAATCAACCATTACATTCTGCACAACTCTGGGAGAAATTACATTAATACCGACACCTGGATCAACAGAAACTATCACGTTGTCGATTGTAGTGAAACGATACTCGTCGCACTAATCCAAATTTCATCAAGTTCGATATCAAGGAACTCGTCGCCTGGCTTCAGTCTCGTTCAGCAGCAGAAACACGCGATTTCGATATGTTTCGATATTGCATCCCGCGTTTCGCACCGTTACTTTCATCTAGATTGACAATAATTGAACAACCGACGGGACGCGCCGGTCGCGTCGAACCCTGATACAACGACTGTCTATGTACAAACCGACGGAACCGCGAGAAATCGCGGCGCGCGCGCGTGGCCCCGCGAAACGTCTCGTCGGCGTTCCTCAATTTGTTTATCACTATTATCATTTCATATTATTATGATTGTTTTTATCGTTATCGACGTCCGAGCGTCCCGATCGACCACGTTCGCGCGCTCCGAGCCAACCGTCTGTTCGATGCCAAAATAAAAATGTGCGGGAAATCAGACGCGAAGATGTTCTCGAGCAAAACCGTATCGAAAATGATCCTTCGACCGTCATTCATCCACGTTTCGGACGCAACGCGTCGACGAACGCGCGTCGTCGTGCACTTTGCACACCTTCTACTTTGGCACCTTTGCATGGACGAAACAGTGTGTCGGTTGAACACGCTGCGATCGAAGAATTTCCTGTAACATTTCCTCTCACGCGGGTGTGTGTGTCGAGTGTCTGTCTGTGTGTGTGAAAGTGTGTGTATTTGTGGGTGGGCGAGTGTATGTGTGTCTGTGTGTGGGAGTGTGTGTCTGTACGTGTATCGTGTGCGAAACAAAAAGACCATCAATGGTGTTCACGGGTTATCGTACATATTTAACGCACACGTTTTAATACTGGCTATCAGGGCGTCGGATAAATATTCCCTTCGTTCCGGTCGACACGATGAGAAACGCCGTTCGAAAATGATTGTCCGTCCCTAAACGCGAAATTCTTTTTTTTTTGTGCATTTCAACTCGAGCGTCCGCTATTATTCACGATGCGTTCGATAACGTTTTACAATCACGATTTGTAGTTTATTTAACTGAGCATGCTAAGTCCCAAGCTCCGTCACCGGAGTTCGATAATTCTCTTTACTTAATACAAAAAAGAAAAAAGAATCGTTTAATTACCTTAACGATAACGTTTACTCCTTCCTCCCGGTTTATACTGGCTCTCTACTCCTCTCTCCCGCGATAGACGATACATGGGTGCTCTAGACTAGTTGAGCTGGCCTTATTTAAATCGTACGTTAAAAAAAGAAAGAAACAAGAAAACAAACTGGAAATTACGAACAAGTAAAAATTGGCTAGAAATAGAAAACAGAAAGCGCGACACACGGCGTCGCCGTGCTGGTTGCGCTGAACCTGCAGCAATCAGGATTCGGGAAGCTGACTTCCGGGAGAAACGTCCATACGTTCACGAAATAAATAAAACGTTCCGCGGGAAATTTATTTAAATACATCACGAGCGTCGAGATTTGTCTCTGTTCAACAGATTACGAATCGAAGATGGAATTCCGATAGAAGAGTGAAAGGACAGCAAAGAAAACGCGTTTTTCATTTGTTTCGTTTGATCAGGACTGCTGGCAGGTTCGCACAATTATCATCCGCACAATAATTACAGCGGTACTTTTCGTTAGAGCTTTATATCTAATGAACGATTTGTTTCCTTCTTCGTTTTTTCTCTCCTAGTTTCCGCCTCCGACTTTCGTCGATCCGATCGGCACGATTCCGATCGGGATGAGGCTGTTCAGGTCCCGAATATACAAAAAAAAAGAAAGAGAATCATTATCGTCG